CACGAAGCTCCAGAGCAAGCAAGACCACAGTGCTGGAGGCAGAGCTGCTGCGGGAAGGATGGAGCAAGAATGGGCTCAAGAGGGCTCTGTGGGAGACGGCAGTGTTTGTGTCTGGGTCGAGGTGTGGCTGCACAGATGTCCACATTTGTCAAAAGTCATCAAACTGTACTCTGAAAACGGATGCATTTTACTTTAAAGAAATTACATCTCAGTAAACTTTAATTAAAAAAAAAAGATAAAGTTCATGCATACAAAAAGCAAGAATATTTCTGAAGAATGAAAGTAGTGAAGGGTTACCAGCCCTACCAGAGGGCAAAGCATATTCAGACCCGAATAATCAAGACGGTGTGGAACAGCGAGAGCATGGAACAGAGGAGAGCCCAGAAACGCCGACAGAATGCACGTGGGACGTGGGCAGCTCATAAATCGCTGGGGATGAGGGGACCATTTATTTATTTATTTTTTTCCTCCCCAAAGCCCGAGTACACAGTTGTATATTCTAGTTGTAAGTCCTTCTATTCTTCTCTGTGAGCCGCTGCCACAGCATGGCTACTGACAGACGAGTGCTGCAGTTCCACACCCGGGAGCCAAACCTGGGCCGCTTTAACCACTAGGCCATCAGGACTGACTTAGGGGGACCATCTAATAAATGGGGCAGAATCTGGACTTTGTGCCTTACAGAACCAATCCTGAGTTGGTCAAAATTAGACATAGAATAAATAAAACCATGAAAGCACCAGGGGAGAATCCATGTTTAACCTCAGGACTTGGAAGGCTTTTCTAAACATGACCCCAAATCCAGAAGTGATAAATAAAGGGTGCTACATTTTTCGACGTAAAAATAAAGCATTTTCGCCTGGTGGAACCATTACAAGCAAAGCCAAAAGACCAAACCCTGGGAGAACTATTGGCAACTAATTACTACATTACGTGTTATATCATAATCAGCACGTTATAGGCAAAAGGCTGAGGCAGCCCAAAGTGGTAAGGAGAGAAAATGGGCCAAGGACAGAAAAAGAAAAGTTTTTTAAAAAGTGAAAGTCCACGCATTTTTTTTAAAGGCACGAACACCCAGGAAATTTCTGAAAGCAGAGAAGAATGAAGGGGAACCGGCCCCAGCCCCCAGGGAGGCTCTGCCCCCAATCCCGTTCCCCCCCGCTCCAGGTGCTGCCCCCACTCCCGCCCCAGCCATGTTCGGGTCTCGGAAGACGGAAAGCAGAACCTGTTGTCTCAGGCGCTGCCACCAATGTCCGCGAGCATCTCCATGCATAGCATTAAGGGAAAAGGCCGGAGGGGGCAGCATTTAGTCTGCAATGACTGCACACGCGGGGAGATGGGCCACGCGTCCTGATCCGCTGATGCAGCTGGCTGTCGCGGCTGTCGGCCGGGAGGGAGAGCTCCTGAACACATTTTGTAATGTCCTATCTATTGATATTGAGCTTGAAGTGAGTTCACTCACCGGTTGTGCAGCATGCCAATCTCTGACACTACGGGTAGTGGAAGAAAGTAGGAATTTTATTATTGCACAGCACTGAGCAAGGAGAGAGGGCAGCTAACGCTGAAATCCCAAACTCCCCAAAAAGCTAAAAGGAAGGGTTTTTACTTGGGGTTTTAGGTAGCGGAGGGGGAGCATATGGTCTTGCTGGTTGGAGCTTTCCTACCAGCCTGTCTTTGGCCTTGAGACACTTGCAGAGAGGAGGGAGCCTGTGACCTTGCTGGTCAGCAGCTTTCCCACCAGCCTGGATCTCTTTGCAGGGAGCAGATAATCCAGGTGCTTGTCCTTGGCTGTGTCTGTCTCCATGGAGGATAGTGGATTCTGAAGCCAGGAAGCCAGGGAGTAAGCAGGGAAAGAGTGTTTTGGTTTTAACGCCATATATGTTGGGTTTAATGTAGGGAAACTGATATCAGGGTCGGTATCACTGTGACCCCGGTTTCACCCCTGCGAAGAAATCAGATGAAATAAGTCAACGATTAAGAAAGAGGAGTCCCTCTGCAGAAATACAACGGATTATAAGAGAATGCTATGAAAAACGATATGCCAACAGAATGGATAACCTAGAGGAAATGGATAAATTCTTGGACTCCTACAATCTCCCAAAGTTCACTCAAGAAGAGGCAGACAATTTGAACAGACCAATCACAAGGAAAGAGATTGAAACAGCAATCAAAAGCATCCCAAAGAATAAAACCCCAGGACCAGATGGCTTTCCTGGGGAATTCTACCAAACTTTCAGAGGGGATTTAATACCTATCCTTTTCAAGCTATTCCAAAAAATTAGGGAAGATGGAACACTTCCTAACACATTCTATGAGGCCAACATCACGCTGATACCAAAACCTGACAAGGACACCACGAAAAAAGAGAAGTACAGGCCAATATCACTGATGAACATAGATGCAAAAATTCTACACAAAATTTTGGCAACCAGAATTCAGCAATTCATCAAAAGGATCATACATCATGATCAGGTGGGATTCATACCAGGGACACAGGGATGGTTCAACATCCGCAAATCAATCAATGTGATACACCACATCAACAAACTGAGGAATAAAAACCACACGATCATCTCAATAGATACAGAGAAGGCATTTGACAAGATCCAACAGCCATTTATGATAAAAACTCTGAACAAAATGGGCATAGAAGGAAACTACCTCAACATAATAAAGGCCATATGTGACAAACCCATAGCTAACATCATACTCAATGGGCAAAAACTGAACCCCATCCCCCTGAAAACAGGAACGAGACAAGGATGCCCTCTATCACCACTCTTATTTAACATAGTACTGGAGGTCCTGGCCAGAGCAATCAGGCAAGTAAAAGGAATAAAAGGAATCCAAATAGGGAGGGAAGAAGTGAAACTCTCGCTGTTTGCACACGACATGATCTTATATATAGAAAACCCCAAAGAATCCATTGGAAAACTCTTAGAAGTAATCAATAACTACAGCAAAGTTGCAGGGTACAAAATCAATTTGCATAAATCAGTAGCATTTCTATACTCCAATAACGAACTAACAGAAAAAGAACTCAAGAACACAATACCATTCATAATCGCAACAAAAGGAATAAAATACCTTGGGGTAAATTTAACTAAGGAAGTGAAGGACCTATATAATGAAAATTACAAGGCCTTTCTGAGAGAATTGGATGACGACATAAGGAGATGGAAAGACATTCCATGTACATGGGTTGGAAGAATAAACGTAGTTAAAATGTCCGTTCTACCTAAAGCAATCTACAGGTTCAACGCCATCCCAATCAGAATCCCAATGACATTCTTTACAGAATTAGAACAAAGAATCCTGAAATTCATATGGGGCAACAAAAGACCCCGAATTGCTAAAGCAATCCTGAGAAAAAAGAACAAAACGGGAGACATCACAATCCCTGACTTCAAAACATACTACAAAGCTACAGTGATCAAAACAGCATGGTACTGGTACAAAAACAGGTGCACAGATCAATGGAACAGAATTGAAAGCCCAGAAATAAAACCACACATCTATGGACAGCTTATCTTTGACAAAGGAGCTGAGGGCATACAATGGAGAAAAGAAAGTCTTTTCAACAAATGGTGCTGGGAAAACTGGAAAGCCATATGTAAAAGAATGAAAATTGACCATTCTTTTTCAGCATTCACCAAAATAAACTCAAAATGGATCAAAGACCTAAAGGTGAGACCTGAAACCATAAGGCTTCTGGAAGAAAACATAGGCAGTACACTCTTTTGGACACCATGCCTTCTCAGAGAAGGGAAACAATAGAAAAAATAAACAAATGGGACTTCATCCGACTAAAGAGCTTCTTCAAGGCAAATGAAATCAGGATTGAAACAAAAAACAACCACTAACTGGGAAAAAATATTTGCAAGTCATATATCTGACAAAGGCTTAATAGCCATAATATATAAAGAACTCTCGCAACTCAACAACAAAACATCAAACAACCCAATCAAAAAATGGGCTGGAGACATGAACAGACATTTCTCCAAAGAAGATATACTGATGGCCAATAGGCACATGAAAAGATGCTCATCATCGCTGATCATCAGGGAAATGCAAATCAAAACTACACTAAGATATCACCTTACACCCGTTAGAATGACAAAAATATCTAAAACTAATAGTAACAAATGTTGGAGAGGTTGTGGAGAAAAAGGAACCCTCATACACTGCTGGTGGGAATGCAAACTGGTGCAGCCACTATGGAAAACAGTATGGAGATTCCTCAAAAAACTAAAAATAGAACTACCATACGATCCAGCCATCCCACTACTGGGTATTTATCCAAAGAGCTTGAAGTCAGCAATCCCAAAAGTCCTATGCACCCCAATGTGCATTGCAGCACTGTTTACAATAGCCAAGACGTGGAAGCAACCTAAGTGTCCAGCAACAGATGATTGGACAAAGAAGATGTGGTACATATATACAATGGAATACTACTCAGCTGCAAAACAGAACAAAATCATTCCATTTGCAATAACATGGATGGAACTTGAGGGAATTATGTTAAGTGAAATAAGCCAGCGAGAGAAGGATAATCTGTGCATGACTCCACTCGTATGAGGAATTTAAAATCATGGACTAAGAACAGTTTAGTGGATACCAGGGGAAAGGTGGGGTGGGGGGTGGGCACAAAGGGTGAAGTGGTGCACCTACAACACGAATGACAAACATTAATGTACAACTGAAATTTCACAAGATTGTAACCTATCAATAACTCAATAAAATAAATAAATAAATAAATAAATAAATAGGGGGAAAAAGAAAAAAAGAGGAGTCCCCGTCTAGCCCTGATGGCCTGGCAGTTACAGTTTGGGCGCCCGAGCGGCTTCCTGGCCCAGGTTGGTTCCCAGGTGCGGAAGGACACCACGTGTCTGTCAGCAGCCATGCTGTGGCGGCGGCTCACACAGAAGAACCAGAAGAACTTCCAACCATACACAACTAGGTACTGGGGTTTGGGGGCAAAAAAGGAAGAAAAAAGGAGGAAGACTGGCAACAGATGGTAGCTTAGGGTGAATCTTCCCCTGCAAAAAAAAAAGTCCCATTTTCAGCAACAAGGTGGATTTGATCCCTTGAAAGACTTTCTCAATGAGTCAGTGGAAAATCCATATAAAACATAGAAAGCGTCATTTTAAATGGGTGACTGAGCTAAGAGAAATGTAAAGAGGGCAACAGCCACCCCAAAATGCAGTAACACCTGGATGGTGAGAGGCAGGCTGCGCCCGGGAGCTGCTGACACGGAAGGGAGGGAGAGGAGGCCCAAGGGGAGGGCACGGTCAGTGAGGTCAGGGAGAGTGGGGCTGAGAATGGACCACTGGGCTTAGATGGTGGAGGCATTCCATATTCTTTCCCAGTTCTCTCTGCCTGGCAGGCCCGAACATTTAAAAGTAACTGAATGACAAGTGAGTAGATTCTGCTACTTTCTGCATCAACACGTTCTGCATCGACACGTATGTATTGCGTGCCCACACCGCAGCTGTGTGGACTGCAGCTCTGCAGAGGAGCTGGGACGCAAGGGTGAACAGGACAGCCAGCCATTGGCCACAGCAGAGCTGACTGACGAGTGTCTCTCAGGGGAGTAATGCTCTGATAACCCGTTCAAGAAAAAAACAGACTGTGTTGGGTGAAAGGACATAGAGACTTTCGACTCTAAGAAAACCAACAAAATTATGAGGTTTAGCATAACTTTTTGCACAAAGGGAGAAGAAGGAAATTCCAGAGCTTTCTTCTGGCTTCACAAGGAAATCGCACAGGTGCCCTTCAGAAAAGAGAGATGTCGGTTTGGATAGTACTGTCAGGGCAAGACGCCACAGACTCGTCAGAATGCTGGATTCAGGGGTGACGGATTCCACTCTTGGCAGGCCAGGTGTTGGCGACGTCAGCTTTGTGCAAACTGCACGTCCAAAAGCAGTTTACAGCATCAGAAGAACAGAGAGGTTTCTCCCAATTCTCCACACCGACGGGAGAGAAGAGTCATTTCTGAGGCTGCAGCGGAGCGGGGCCGGCCGAAGGCGCCCTCTCCCGGTCCCTCCAGGATCCCTCTCCTCCCTCAGCTGTGGACCAAGCAGGGTGAGGCTGCAACTCCCCGGTCAGCTTTGTGGAAAGACAGGCCTGCGGAACTCAAGCTCCCAAAGATCAAGGATGGCAGAGTAGAAGCTTTCTTAACAAGAATGGGTGTGGCACGTGTGATGTTTTTCTTCCACATTAGGCATGAAAAAGAGGACGCAAAGCGGGAATGAGAACACTGTGCACATTTTTATGCCAATACATTTGAAGACTTAACAAAATGGAAAATTTCCTAGGGAATCGGAGTAGATTTAGGTCAGTAAAGTGGCTGGAGATGAACTGGCCAGGGGCCGGGCTGATTTGGGCCAGCAGAGCCACTGATGCCCTGACCCCAGGCCAATCAGCTGACCCCGTGCTGACGAGCAAAGCCCAGCCCTTGTCTTGCCTTCCTGAAGTCCTTGGCCACTACTGGCTCCACAGGGGGTCTTTTGACAAGAGCAGAAACGAGCCAAGGAAACCTGGTGACCTTGTCCCAGGGCCTCCTCACTGATCCTTGGAAACAACATAGGTGGATTCTACTCTCTGGTCACCACACTCTTTTTGCTTAATTTAAGGCATTTTAAGCAAAAGCTGTCATTTTGCTGACACCTATCTTTATTTTATTTTATTTTTTTGCTAAGGAAGATTTGCCCTAAGCTAACATCTGTTGCCAATCTTCCTCTTATTTTGCTTGAGGAAGACTGTCCCTGAGCTAACATCTGTGCCACTCATCCTCTACTTTGTATGTGGGTTGCCACCGTAGCACTGCCGCCAACGGGTGGTGTAGGTCCGTGCCCGGGTTCCAGGCCTGCAAACCTGGGCTGCCAAAGCGGAGCGCACGATCTTAACCGCTAGGCCATGGGGCCAGCCCCTTGCCTACGCCTGACTTAATCCACGCTGGGAGAAGAGTGGGAGGCAGAGCCACAGGAGGGACCCACCAGGGAGCCCTGCAGGTCCCTCCACTTCCCAGTTTCCTCCACAGGGTCTTGGGGCAACAGAAGCCACCTGAATGGAACCTGGCTCTATGTCCTAGGCTCACGGGTCATCTGAGCCTGTTTCCCCCTCTGCACTGGATAGCCTCAGCCTGCTCACCCGGTGGGTGGCCAAGTGGCCCTTTCAGCCCAACTGCCAGCTCTCCGCTTGTCTACACTAGAGAGTGAAGGGGAGGAGGGCTCCCAGGCCAAGCTCATGATCCTGGGAGCCTCTGCTTGGCTCCTCCCCTAAAGATCCTAGAAGCGCTGGCTCCCACTCGTCCAGGTCTCATGGAGCCACTGGGAACCTGGAGAGCCACCCAAACCCCAGAGCTCAGAGCTGGGCAGGCCGGCTCCCTCATGGAGACCCTGGAAGCCGGGACCCCTCCATCCTTGCTCTGCTAGTGAGAAAACGGAGGCCCGGGCGGTGGGGAACGGAACATGCCTGCCCGCTACCCATACTGCTCTGAAGACACACTTCCAAACGCCCAGCACGTCTCCATCCCCAGGGAGCATGGGAGCAGGCACATCCAGCCTGGGTGGGTTGGGGTGCTGGCCTGTCCCCACCAAGCCACGACAGCAGCAAGAGCGGCTACCCTCTGTGCACCGGCTTCCTCACCTGCTAAAGAAAAGGAGACGGCTGCGGTGAGCAAAGGCTCCTGCTGCACAACCGAAGTGGCGTCACCCAGCACAGGGGGTGCCTGTCATCATTGTAACAGGTGGGTCCAGGGCCTGAGGTGGCACAGGCCCGCCCTGGGGTACGGCCAGCATCCTTGGCCGGTGTCCTCGCTGCTTTCCTTCCCAGCATCTTGGCCACCATGCCCTGGGCCAGGGGTCTGTGGGGCGTCTCCTCTCAGGTTTGCCCCTTACACTGGTGGTCCCTGCTATAGGTGCCTGGAGGCCACCTCCTCCCCTGTCCCAAGTCACACACACGCCCAGGCCACAGTGCATCTGGTCCAGTGGCAAGCTGAGGCCCCTGCAGAGGAGAGGAGGCACCTGTCAGGGAGGCAGAGGACGGCACTTTGAGAAAGGCCACTCCTCTCTGGCCAGCCCAGCAGAGAGGAGCTGGGGCTTGGTGTCCCCTTGAAGTGAGGACCTGCCGGCTTCTCAGAGCCCAGATCTGGTGAGAATGGAGCTCTGCTCCCACAATAGGCACCCCTCCCCCGACGCCAGGCCCCAGGGCCCCTCACCAGGGAAGGGCACAATGCAGGGCCCACCCCTCCCCCTGCCAAGAGCACTGTCTCTCCCCGAGGCTGGCTCACAGCGGCCATGCTCTTCCACAGGAGAGAGGGGTCACTACAGCTGGAGAAACAGGAAGTGCAAAGGGAGTGGAGTCGGGGTCCCTGAGGGCGTCGTGTGGGCCAAACACCAAAACTGCTGGCCAGCCAGGCCCTGAGGGCCTGTGGGGGCCGTGGCCGTGAGCAGCTGCTACCTGGAGGACTCTCCGGTGACCCTCATACCCCTGATCCTGTGTGCTCGGGGTTCCAGTAGCCGTCTTCAAGCCCCGGCCAGTGGGACCACCTTGTCTGGAAGCCCCTGTGTCACTCCAGGGTGGTCTGGCCTCCCCCTGCTGGGTGGAAGCGTTTCCAACAGGCCCTGGAGCTTGGGCCTCAGCCAGGGAGGCCTGGCGTCCCGCGCTGGGCTCAGAAGAGCCGCAGGGGTGTGACCTGGGTGCACTCACCTGTACGCCCCTCCCCAGGTCCGAGTGGGGACTAATGTCATCCTGTGGGCGCCCAGTGTCCCGCTGGGCTCCGGGGCAGGCCTGGGTGGCCTTCCAGTTACAGCAAAGGGACGGGCAGCATTCGGGGTGCAGGGGGGACGAAGGCCATGGAGGGTTCCAGGGACGCTCCTTAGAGTTAGTCTGATGCCTCCAAACAGGACAAGAAGCCAAGACCATCTGATGTTTATTTTACGGCACCTTCTATTTATGTTCCTGATATGAAGTCTCCTTTTGAAAAACATTCCTGAAGTGAAAAAGTGAATGGATTTAAAGAAAGCATTTCGTAAATAGCAAGACGGCCGGGGCTTGTGTATGAAGACCACGTAAAGTGGCACTTCAGACGCGGAGGGCCGGAAGTGCAGGCGCCACGCAGCGACCCCCTCCCTGCCTCCTTCTGTCCTCAGAGCCAGCCCCTCTGGGCTTCCCGTGTCGAGTCCCCCAGACCCAAGAGGAGACCCGGCAAAACATGTTGTCCTTTCATGGACGTGGTTCCTAAGCTTTTGCTCAGGGCCGTGGCCTGGGATCTCAGCCTTACAGGCCGCTCGTCCTTCACACTGGCCCCTCGCCAGACCTGGGGCTAGTCTGTGTCCACAGTCCACAGCTGGAGGTGAGGGACGGAGGGGCTCACTGCCCACCCTGCTGCCTCTGAGGCCCCTCTGGACCCAGCCAGGGGGGAGGCTCAGATCTGCAGGGAGGGGCCTTCAGGCAGAGGGACTGAGCCGGGGGCTCTGGGAAAGGTGGAGGGGTGGGAGATGAAGTTGGTGGGATTAGGATGGCTAGCCTCTGCAGGGTCTGCAGGCCATGGAGCTGATGAGACTCTGAGTTTCAATAGTCAGAAAGCCTGAGTTTCAGTGTTTACACAAAAGGGGCTTTCCTGGCTTCTGTGACTTTGAAGTCCAGGGGGTGGGCTCACTTCAGGCAAGGCTGGATCCAGACACTTGGAGCAAATACTCTGGCTGCATTTCTTGCCTCTCTCAGGGGTTGGCTTCATTCTAAGACAAGCTCTCCCCATGCGACGTCTTTAGGGCATCAGCAGCTGGAAGTCTGCCTCTGCCAGCGGAGCAATCACCCTTTCCCATAAACTTCAGCAAAAGTCTCGAGGCCAAGGGGATGGATCTGACTAGCCAGGGCTGGGTGCCCCGCCAACTCCTGGGCAGGGTGGGTGAGCCCCACCCAGACCCTACAGACCAAGTTCGGAGAAAGGGGGTTCCCAAAGGGAAATTGAGACACTAGTGCTAGAAGTCAGAATGGGTGGGAGGCAGGTGGGCGCCGGCCGAACATGCAGCTCACTGTGGTCCTTCTCTCTCTGGACAGCGGCCCCCTTCCGCCTGTCTGGCTGCACCCCCAGCAGCCGCCTACGCGTCTGCACAGCCTGGGCCCCTTCCTCTGGTTTCCAGTGGGACTGCCAGGAAGCTGGTTCCAGCCAGAAGTGGGGGGGCTGCCTGTTCCAGTCTGCCTCCGGGGCCCTGGAAGAGAGCAGTGAAGGGAAAGCCTCTGGGGTGTGAGTGTGAACTGTGAGCAGTGCTGGGCGTTCCTGTGCATGGGAGGGGATCTACGCTGATGGTGGGCAGTGGCTTAAAGGCGGGCCACCGGGGCCCTCGTCTTTGCGGTCCCGGCCCTATGCCCAGAGGCCACCAGTGCCACACTCAGCTACCTGCGGAAAGTGGATGCTGACCCTCGATCTCCTCATCCTCTCCCCTTAATGGGGCAAAAATGACAGCAGCCTCAGATGCTCACACAAGGTCACTAGCCCTCATACTTTCCAGGGGCTCTGGCTGGAGGCCCTCAGGGCTGGTGGACCCAGGATCAGAGACGGACTGTCTCTGTGGGGCCAGGGCAAGGGGCCGGAATCTTCCACTTTCCTCATAGGCTGTGGCTGGTGGCAGTGGGGTTCCACCCCTTGGCAGAGCCAAGCCCTGGGACTGGGCCTCTGTGGAAATAGAGAGGGCATCCCCACTGGCCGTTGGCAGGGGCAGCTGCAGAGGTGGGTGTGGGGGCCGACGTGGGGTGAAGGGTGGGGTCCCTCATGGTCTCTGGGGACAGTTCCTTGGCTCAGCCCAGACCCCTCAGGTGGGAAGCAGGGCTTTCTCACATCCGCCCTCCCCAACCGGCTGCAGCTCAGTGGATCTTGCACAGGGACGCCTGGGGCACAGCCCTCCCCCGCCCTCATCTGCTCTTGGCCCAAAGTAGGCAAGATGCCTGGACAGATGACATGCCCAGGTCGAGGGACAGCAGAGCCCTCAGCCCCATGGCCAGCCCTTCCACCCGGCCAGGAGCTGCCCTAACCAGGAAACACTCAGCGATGATGAGCCCCCAGCCTCAGAACAGGCTGAGGGCATCCACCGGCCTCCCCAGGGAAGCCTCAGGCCGGATCTAACTGGATTTCCACTCCGCTAGCGCACAAAGCCTGAAGATCCCTCTCCTCTCTGGAGTGGACTGGTGGGCTGGCCACTAAGCTGTCCTCAGGCCCAGAGATGCCATGGGGCCCCTTCCGCCGGCAATATCACCTGCACTGGTGCCCCTACCCCTTGGGGCAGAGTGGCTGTGGCTGCTTCAGGTTTCCACTGGAACTGGATGAGCAAGCTGGCCAATGCCCTGGGGAGCTCGGGGTAGGGATGTGGGCTAAGTCACCATCACTTTCTGCTTTCCGGGGGGACCTCCCAAGTCCCCCACATAGTTGGGACAGGAGTGTGGGCCCAGGGCCCTCCGTGCCTGATGGGAAGGGAGAAGCTGCCAGGGCCAGGGGGTGCCCCTCCCAAACCTCCACCCCTAACTCTTCCCCACTAGGAGCAGACGCCTTGGAGACCCTCCTCAGAGTCTCAGTTAGCTGGAGACCTGGCGTTGCGGTCAGAGTCCTGTAGGGCAGCTAATAAAGCTTGCTGGGCTTGGGTGGGGGGCTTCTGACCCTTGGCTGTAGGCTCTGGTGGAGGCCTCAAGATCCAGTGCTGACGTGGAATTTTGGGTGATGAGCAGCAACTAGTGAGGCTGGGGTGGGAGTGTTCTGCTCCACGGGCAGGTGTGTGGGGAGGAGGGACTCAGTGAGGACTGCAGCTCACCTGCTCCCTCCCCCCACCCAGGTGAGAACAGGACCTGGAAGCTGCCCCAGGAGCCCAGGGTCCACAGCACAGTTGCTAGGGACCCCTCCTCACCTCTCTGCCCAGGGCACGGAGCCGCCCCTCAACCAGAGGTATGCTCCCTGCACAGGAAATGCTCCTGCTTCACGTCCAGTCAGGTCAAACAGGCCTGGCCAGGTGTCCTGTGGCCCTGGAGGGGCGTCCTGAGCGCCTGGCAGTGTAGGCAGGGATGGGATTAAGGGGCTAGGGTCTTGGGGCCAGTCCTAAAGACAAGAGTGGGGGAAGATGTGTGTCCCTCCTTCCCCAGGCCGCGCTGCCCACCCACTGCACCAGGTGGGTTTGTGCGAGCGCTTTTCCCTTTGTCCAGCCCTGACCTCTTTCTCAGGCGATCGGGACGGCTACCCCGCGGCCATATGCGGGAGAGGGGAGTGAAGGATAAATCAGACCACAGCGTGATCTGTTCTGTAGCTGCCTTCTTTGTGCTCAGAGTGAATAAAGTTTTCTCCAAAAGAAGCCTCACCTCGTGGCGCCTCCCCCGACCCCCAGGTCGGCGCTGTCCAACGCTACAGCGGCAGAAGTCCTTAAGGAGGAGGACTGCTGTCCGCGCCCCATCCCCGTCAGGGCAGTCGGGACCCTTACTTTGGGTCCCTACAGCGGGTCTGGGATGGGGCAGGGTGACCGTGACCAGGGTCCTGCGCGCTCCAGCTCGCTGCCTCCTCTCCTCATCCGGAAGCACGGCGTCCCCGACTGGCGTGGCCAAAGACAGTGGCGGAGCTGCCCTTGGGAGCCACGACTCGGGACCACAGCCCACGAGAAAGCCTCCGAAAAACCCGGCGGAGGCGAGGGAGGGGCGGGGAGCCACTCACACGGCGAGAAACGGAGAGGTGGGTGGACCACGCGGTGCCTGCCCGCATTCATCCCGCCCCTCCCGCGCGGCCGGGGACGGGTGTCGCGAGGCCGCTGTGGCCGCCCCCTCTCCTCGGAGCTCGGTCATTCAGGGGGCCGCGGGCCAGCGAGGGTTAATGGGGGCGGGGCGTGGGGCGGCCCCGCCTCCACCGCCGCGCCGGGTCCGAGCGCGCACGGGGCGCGGGGGCGGGTCGGAGCGGGCGCGGCGGAGGGCGCGGCGCGCCGGGCGAGCGCGGGGAGCGGCGGCGGCGCGGCCCGCGTGACCCACCGCCGGCGCCCGTGCGCCCGCGAGCCCGCGCCCCGCCGCGCCCGGCCCAGCCGCAGGATGCGCGCCCCGCCGCTACTGCTGCTGCTGGCCGCCTGCGCGCCGCCGCCCTGCGCCGCGGCCGCCCCGACGCCGCCGGGGTGGGAGCCGGCGGCCGACGCGCCCTGGTGCCCCTACAAGGTGCTGCCCGAGGGCCCCGAGACGGGCGGCGGGCGCCTGTGCTTCCGCAGCCCCGCGCGCGGCTTCCGCTGCCAGGCGCCCGGCTGCGCGGCGCACGCCTCGGCCGGCCGCTCGCTGCGCGCCAGCGTCCTGCGCAACCGCAGCGTGCTGCTGCAGTGGCGCCTGGCGCCGGCCGAGGCGCGCCGCGTGCGCGCCTTCGCGCTCAACTGCTCGTGGCGCGGCGCCTACACGCGCTTCCCGTGCGAGCGCGTGCTGCTGGGCGCCTCCTGCCGCGACTACCTGCTGCCCGACGTGCACGACGGCGTGCGCTACCGCCTGTGCCTGCAGCCGCTGCCGCTGCGCGCCGAGCCTGCCGCCGCCTCCCCGGAGCCCGCCGGGCCGGCCGAGTGCGTGGAGTTCGCCGCCGAGCCAGCTGGCATGAGGGAGATCGTGGTGGCCATGACGGCGGTAGGCGGCTCCATCTGCGTCATGCTCGTGGTCATCTGCCTGCTCGTGGCTTACATCACCGAGAACCTCATGCACCCGGCCTTCGGGCGCCCCGGTCTGCGCAGGCAGCCCTGAAGCGCGAAGCGGCCCGCCCACCGGGGCTCTGCCTGCCCCACGAGTTCGTGGGAGGCCACAGACGCTCCAGCCCGCTATCCCTTCCGCGTTCCTGCTCCCTCCTAGGATCTCCACGCAGGGCCTGCTGGAGACGGATAGGGCACCGGCCAGCCGCACCAGGACCTTGAAGTCGTCGCACGACCTTCTCAGCTGGACATCCGCATCCCAGACTTCAGCTCGGGACTGGCCTTTGGGCCTGGGCAGAGATGACAGCTGCGTCCAGGGCTCTCCCTGCTCTCCAGAGGCCTTTCTAGAGGCCGCCAGGACATAGAGCCCTTTCTAGCAAGAGCCATTGGCACCCGTGGGTCGTCACTCTACTCCTCCATCGTGTACCACTTTGGAAAAACTAGGCTGTCGTCCTTGCTTGGTCACTGTGCGCTTTACCAGCTCGAGGGGCCCCATTGGAGCCTATGCTTTGCCCGCCCCACCCCAGTGGGCTTAGGTTAGCTTCGTGCCTTAGTATCTGGGGCCCACTGCTGGAACCAACTCCTGGTCCTGTGCTGTCTGAGAGGGTCTGTGGCCCTGAAACTGGCTGGCTCGTGTGTGGTTCTCGCCAGAGCCCCCTGGGCATCCCCACTTCAAGATTTGCAGGAGTGTCGGGTGCGGGTAAAGAGAGTCTGTGGTGTTTTCCTACGTGGGTGTCTGACAAGCTGGGAGTCAAGATGTAGCTCAGCAGGCCAGGCCAAGCGTCCAGCTGCTGTGCCCAGGGGTGAGTGTCCTCTGACCTTGGGGGAAGCTGGCAGTTCTCCAGGGCCGGGCTACCCCGCTTCCTTTTGCGTGTGCTGCTTCTGACTGAGGACTTTCTATGGCAAGTGGGGACAGGTGGCTGGGAAGAGGGGACCTGGTCTGAAAGGACAGCGTTGGATCCAGAGGGCAGAATAGATGCCAGCCTTGCCCAGCTGGACTTTGTACTGTGGTCTGGATCCCAAGCCTCAGCCACAGCATGACAGATAGCACCACCCCACCCCCTCCTCGAGCTGGTGGCTGGGAGCCCAGGATCTGGCCAGAGATGCTGCTGCCCGCCTAGAGTCCCAAGGTGGGCTGAAGGCTGACCTTGCCCCTCTCTGGGCAGACCTGAGCACCCTGACCAGGGTTGCTTCTTGTGCCGATCACTTGGTGATGCCGAGTGCTGGGAGGGGTGTGGCACGGGATGCCGAGTTCTCCATGAGCCCCTGACTGTGACCACCCTGGACCTGGCACTTCTGGAGTCACTGTGGCTTACCCATCCCCACCCTCACCCAGTGGCCACCAGCGACCCCAGGTCCTGGCTGGTGCCTCCGAAGCACCCACTCCCCACCTCTCTGTCTTTGCTCTGCCCGCCCCTGGCGTGGCACTAGTCAGGTGTGAGCCTGGCGCCATTATCTGTCAAAATGTCTATCATTCTTAGACCAAAACCGCCGTCTTGTGTGCTTATTCAAGAGGTGGGAGGAAAGGACACAGAATAAGGAGGAGGAGGTGGACCCCTTGCTCCCCAGCTCCTCTAAGCTCCTCGAGCATCAGCCCAGTGGCTGGCCCTGGACCCTTTGCCTGGTCAGGTGGGGTCAGTCCCAGGCTGGGTGCACAGGCACCCTGCCCTTGCAGCTTCTGGCAGAGGGACAAGCAGGGTGTCCCACTGCTGGTGTGCTCACAGACCTTGGGAAACCATCCTCCTGGGTCTGCTGTGCTGGGTGGGGGTGGGGGGCGGCACCTGGTGCAGTTAGAAATAGCCCAGTCTCACAGCTGACCCACTTGAGCTGTGACAAGCAGCAATTAGGCAGCTCTAGGAGGGCCCCGTCCCTGGTCCGTGCCTCCCCATGCAGTGCCAGGGCTGGGAGTAGGGGACAGGATAAACCTGGGGCCCCAGTGTGTGGCATTCACTGGATCGCCACCTGCCCTCCCGCGTGGGCCCTCCCCCACCTTGGCTGTCCTTGAGATCCAAGAGCTGTGACCCTGAGGAGCCAGCTGGGGGCGGGCCAGGCTCTGAAGAGTGACTCATCTCCTCCGAGAGGTGGGGGTGTGACAGTGTGTCTAGACAGCCTGGGGGAGGGGTGAGGTGGGCAGGAGTGGGAGGGGTTCCACCTCTATCCCGACTCCCTGGGAGCCCTTTGCCTGGGGAGACCCCAGGCCACCTGTGAAGTGCGCTCAGGTGTCTTCCGTGAGGGCAGAAGTGGGAGCTCCTGGCAGCCCAGTCTGATGTGCCCTGGTGTCCATCCTCTGGCTCCTGAGGGCAGTCAGGTTCCAGAGCTGGGGCCACATGGCTCTGCTGGAGCCATGGTGAAATTCCCTGAGGTCTTGCCCTCTGCCCTCTCCCTCCGGCCCTCCACCTGATTTGGGGCCCCGTTTGTGGGCTTGAGCTCAGGCCAGCTAGAGCCACAGGCCTGTCTTATCAGCCGATCCTCCATCTCCTGCAGCACTGACCCTCAGCCTTCTGCTCCAGAGATGCCTCTTTAGGGCTCCGTTGTGGGGGCTTCTTGGAGGTCCAGAGTCCAGCTTTGGGTCTGCAGAGGTGGAGCTGAGGAGGCCTGCCCCAGCACAGTCCAGCGATGAGCCCTGGCCTGGGAGACGACCTGCAGCTGGTGTCCAGGCAGAGGGCTTCTGCTTCTGAGCTCACGGTCATCCCCACAAGCTGCTCTCCCAAGGTGGCCCCACCATCCTCCCCAGGGTGCGGGGGACACCCAAGCTCCTGCCCCACGCTGTTGCCCCAGTCCACCTGGAGGACTGGCTGCACACCTCGTCCACAGGCTTCCCTCTTCCACCCCCCTCGAGGGCCGTGCCTCCTTCGCTCCCTCTCTCGTTGTGGCCTCTGCTCTTCTGGTCACCTCTGCAGCCTCCCTGTGCCTCATTCATCGGTCCAGACTGCTTTTCTCACTGGCGCCTGAAGATACTTAAGGTTCTAATTTTCTGTCATGGAATAGAGATAACTCTGCTCTGATTCCGAAGCACTGAAGGGCTGTCTGGGCTGTCGTCCTTGCTCTGCCTTTTTTAAGAGCCATGCGGCCTTTCAGTGCCTCAGTTTCCCCATCTGTAAAATGGAAACAGTAATAGGACCTAATTCACAGGCTTCTTGCAAGGCTTACGTCAGACTAGCCAGGTAGAGATAAATCGTAGCCATTGTTATTCGTGTCTTTGCCATGACTTAACGTGCCCTCTGGGCCAAGATCCCCAGGGCTATGTCCCCAGCCTGACCCTCCTCAAGCTCCAGACAGGTGGCCCTTGAAATTCTCACTATGTTGGCTGGTGTGTGCAAAATAGAACTCCTGATTCTCTGCTCAGCCCCACACTTGAATCCATGGCACGTTCATTTAGCCAATGGGAATGAGACACAATCGTCTGTGAACTCGGGCCGGCCGAATGCCCCCATGTGGCTGGCTCTGGGGACCCAGCAGTGACACCAGGATGCAGACCTGCCTGCCCAGGCTCCTCCCCCATGGCCCCCAGCAACTGCTTGCTCCTCTGGTCTCATCAGCGCTGGCCCTGGGAGGCCCTCACACTCTCAGGGCTGGCTAAGCTGGGGGGGGGGGCACGGAGACAGACGACACCAAGTGCAGCAGGCAGCATCAAGGGCAGATAGAGGAAAAGTTTCTCCAGGGGCACATGTTGGACTGGTGTTTCCCTGGTGATCTCAGGATGGGGGCAGGGCTGTTGGATTTGGTCCTGGGGAGGCACAGCCAAGGAGCTGCTGTAGACCTGGACCTGGGGGACGAGCAATTTGGCCACTGCAGCCTGAGTCTAGAGTCCTGGGCCCCTGATACCCAGAGCCTCCTCCAACCCTGTCTCTGGGGACTGGCCACATGCCCCCGGGGAGCAGTGGCTGAGAATGGGTGGCGTGGGCGTTCCAGGGAGGGGGACCGGCCTTCACCTCTGAAGGCAGGGGCATCAGAGCCACTTGCTACCTCTTTTTTTCTTTTTTCAAGAGCAATTCCATGTTAGTATTTTTTTTAATTAAGAGAATTTTTTTGCTACTTCTTTCTTTTAAGGTGTCATTCGGGTTTTCCTCCTGTTAATCTTCTTTAGAAATCTGTTCTTTTATTTCTAAGTTGTATCAGCAGTCTTTTCAAATCTTCATTTTTCCCCCAACGATCTCAGTAAATTTTTTTCCCCATTTCTGATGCAGGGTGTTCTTTCGTAACTTTTACCATCTTCTAACTCTATTAGCTTGTGATGAAACACGTGGTTAAAGGTTTTCTCTTTTCTGGCATGCCCTCATCTGTAGGGATGGTACGTGCTGCTGCTTCTGTTTCCTATGGTACATTTGTTTGGGGTTCAATGGCTTCCATTGGTCACACGTAACCAAGCTGAGTCTCCCTACTCATAGGAGGGGAGTGGGGGGCAGGGACAGCTCCCCAACCTCTGCCATCATCTAAATAGAGCAGACTGCCCTGCCTCCCCCCCCCCCCCCCCCAATCTGGACTGTCTCCTTCCTTTGCCCCAGGCAGCTCCGTCCCACTCAATTTGGATTCTGGTCCGACAGGTTCTTCCCATGCGCACCCATCCCTCATCAGCTCGACTCAGAGTTGTCCTCAGTATGGCCATTTTCTTTTTTCTGTTTTTTGAGGAAGATTAGCCCTGAGCTAACATCTGCTGCCAATCCTCCTCCTTTTGCTGAGGAAGACTGGCCCTGAGCTAACATCCGTGCCCATCTTCCTCTACTTTATAAGTGGGACGCCTACCGTGGCGTGGCTTGCCAAGCAGTGCCATGTCTTCACCAGGGATCTGAACCGACGAACCCCGGGCCGCCGAAGCGGAACGCATGCACCCAACCGCTGCGCCACCGGGCCAGCCCTCAACGTTGTCCTGTTGACCTTGTTTTTATTTTTTTCTCAACACCATGTCTTTGAGTTTATCCACAGTGCAGCATGTACAAATACTTCGTTTCTGTCTGTCACTGTGCTGTGCAGCCACCGTCCTTACTTGCCCTCACCCCGGGGTAGAACTCGGGGAGCTGCAGTGCTAGCCACCGGAGTGCTTCCGCGAAAACCCTCCCACCATCCTCAGCGGCCTGTGCGAGAACCTCTCTCAGTGAGGGACAGATATCAGGGGCGTGCCGACTGAATTTCGCCAACATTGCCGATTTGTTCCTAATGGCTGAAGTGGTTAACACTCCTGCCAGCAGCACAAGTGGGTTCTTATTTCCCTGATCACTCACCAACACTGTGTATCACCCCGTTTTCTCGCTTCTGCCAATCTGATGGCGGTGTAACCCAGTTTTATCTGGATTTGCTTTCTCCCGATCACGGAGAGGTTGCGCATCACTATTCTTATTAGCCACCTTAACTTCCCCTGAACGCACTGCTTCTTCATGTTCTTTGTACATTTTCCCATTGCTCTTTTTCCTCTTAATTTTCAAGCGTTCCACAAATATTCTAGATCAGCACTGTTCAACAGGACTTTCTGAAATTATGGAGATGTTCTTTGTGCTTTATTCGTTTCCTAGAGCTGCTGTAACCTTACCACAAACTGAGGGGCATAAAGCAACAGAAACGTCCTCTCTCACAGTTCTGGAAGCTGGAAGTCTGGAATCAAGGTGTCAGCAGGGCTGGTTCCTTATGAGGACTCTGAGGGCAAATCTGTTTCATGCCTCTCTCCAGCTTCTGGTGTTGCCAGCAATCTTTGGGGTTCCTTGGCTTGTGGATGCTCCATCTCCAAAGATGCCTCTGTCATGTAGCTGCCTCCTTTCTGAGTGTCTCCTCTGTCTGTGTCCGAATTTTCTTCTCCTTTCTTTTATAAAGACATCACTCACTGGATTGCTGCCCACTCTCATCCATTATGACCTCATCTTAATTTGATTACATCAGCAAAGACCCTATTTCCAAATAAGGTCACATTCACAGGTACTGGGGGTTAGGACTTCAACGTATTCTTTCGGTGAACTGCAAAAGGTTTCCTGGACCCAATTCCAACGTGTGTGTGTGTGCAGCCTTCCCCACACCAACAAGCAGTTCTTGGACACCAGCGATGTGTCAGAGAATTCAGCTCAATTCTGACACTGTCTACCCAGAGATAGAGTCAGATCGCAGAGAGAAAGGGCCCAGTCCCACACGACTGCCCTCCACTTCAGATGCCAGTTGCAAGCCCAGGTTGTTGCCTGTGCTTCTGAACAACAGGCTACAAATCAAAGGTTCTCATGACCCTTTTCTAGGGTTCGATAAATTTGCTAGAATGGCTCAGAAAACTCAAGAAAACAGTTCACAAAACTCACTAGATACCAATTTATTACAAAGGACATTAAAGGATAAGAATCAACAGCTGATGAAGAGATACATAGGGTGAGGTCCTCAACACAAGAGCTTCTGTCATTGACCACTGGCAAGAGATTCAACTTCAAGCCCCTCCCCTTCCCAGAAGTCAGGGGGTGGGGCTGAAAGTTCCAATCCTTTGGTCACAAGGCTGGTTCCCCTGGCAACCAGCACCCCCC